TGCGCCCTTAGCGGGAACTGAACCCGGGTCTCTCAGGACCGCAGGCCGACGCTCTAACCGCTGAGCCAAACCGGCCAGGGATATATTTCCTAGTTCTGTCCACTGAAAAGGCCTAGAAATAATGACCAATCCAGTAGCAAGTTCTTAGACTGAAGTTTCCAAATGTTATTTCCCACTTAAAGGAACCAGGGCCTCTTGCAGAAATGGCTGATTCCAATCAGGGACAGAAAACGTACAAGATGAACCTGGTACAGTCTCTCCTGCCAGATATTAAGGAACTACTAAGGACTATTGAGGGCATGTCAGAAAGACTCAAGAGCTAATCTGAAAGATGACGACAATTTGATTATTAATAATAATGACTGCAAATGATTAAAAAAACATTCAATTTGTTTAATCCTATAAATTCAAAATAATATGTACTCCCCTTCAAAAGAAAAACCCCACAAAAAACCTCACTGGTCAACTTTGGAGGATGCTAGGTAACCACCTCATCACTTTGAAAACTGGTAATAAGAAGAAAGAGTATAACATTTATCCTTCTCTTCCTGAGCAAATCACATCTCAGTATTATCAAATGACTGTTGAGAACATTTTCCCTTTCTAGTTACTAATGAAGAAGGAATGACAGAATTAGTTGTAACCATTTTGCAATTTTGAATGGATGTGAATGAATATCCAAAAGAGACAAAGATTTTCTGTGTTTCTTGATAGACACATATATTACCGTTTATAGGCATTCTTACAAAAATAAAAAATTAAAATAAAACTTGAATCAGATTAAGCCTCTACCAAGTTACAAGAAATACAATAAATATTGCCATGGGGATTTACTCACCCAAATCCAGGCTGTTAGAAACTCTACAAGATAAAAACTTAGTTTTGTCAACAAATAAATTGTAATGAGAGAGAGAGAGAGAGAGAGAGAGAGAGAGAGAGAGAGAGAGAAGTGAACCTATAGATTTAAAGAGATTTGAGAGTCATAAGAGCTATTTATTGAAAGTATGGACTTTATTTGAATTCTGATTTAAACAACCTGTAAAAAACATAGACTCACTCCAGACTTTCACTCAATTAGGGACATTTGAACACTGAATATTAAATACTCATAAAGAACTACTTTTCAATTTTGGAGTATTACAATTATAGCTACAAAAAAGGAGTCCTTACTTTTAGAGATAAATTTTGAAATATTTATGGATAAGATAATAAAATGTCTGGGACTGGCTTCAGAAAAATCTGATAGAAAAGAAATCAGGCAGTGCATAGATCCAACAAAGTTGTCTGTGAATTGATAGTTTTTTTAAGCCGGGTGGTGGGTACCAGTCTCTGTATCTGAAGAACTAATTGGGTAGTCAAAGAAGTGAATTCAAATATGAGATTCATGCAAAGAAGTTTTGGCAATGATTATGAAAAAGTGGAAGGATTGGCAAATGCCATGTGTGTATCACAAAGCGAAGTGCCAAGACAAAGCAAACACTTGGGGAGGTTGAATGCTTATAAAATAGCAGCCATAGCTATTCTAATTATTCCTGCCATGCCTCACTGGTAAGACAGGTTCGAGCATCCTACACATGCCTCCTAAGGAGAGAAGACAGTCATCACAGGCAGACTCTCCCAGGCGAGAGTACCTCCCAGCATGATCCAGAGCAGCCTCCACATGAAGGAGCAGACGAGGTGGGAGCGTGCTGTGAGGAGAGCCTGGCGCTCAGACTGGTCAGTGTGTTCAAAGTCCCTATGGATACACAAACCACACAGTTCCCAAGCTTCCCTGTGAATCTGTACAGGGGAAGCAGCATGAAGAATGATGTGCCATCAACAAAACTGGGACAGAAACCCTTTGGTAGAAGACTGAAATCTTATAAAGCTAATGTAGTTTGTTTGTTTGTTTGTTTATTTATTTATTTATTTATTTATTTTTAATCCTCACCCGAGGACATTTTCCCATTTTTTGTTCAGGTAGAGTGGGAGGGAGAGAGAGGAACAGAGAGAGAGAGAGAGAGAGAAACATCGATGTGAAAGGAACACATCGAGTGGCTGCCACCCTCACGACCGACCAGGGCCGGGGACAAACTGCAACCAAGGTACATGCCCTTAGCGGGAACTGAACCCGGGTCTCTCAAGACCACAGGCCTACGCTCTAACCGCTGAGCCAAACTGGCCAGGGCTAATGTAGTTTATTTTTAGTTATGTTTTTCCTGGCATCATTATACATTTTAAGTAATAACATTCAAATTTGATTTTAAAAAACAACACAAACATTTTAAAAGTAATTTTAAGGCATATGAGGAGAGTAGCCTACAATATGAAACAGAGATCAGGAACTGTGAAAGAAAAAAGTTCTGAATCTTGAAACATCAAAGTAGGGTTTGATACCCTGTTTAGTTATTCACGATGACATTATTTTAGTTTTACTCTTTTTTTCTCCCCATGAAAACCTGGAGTTTATGTCTGTGGTTCTCAAGGGAGGAGAGCACATTTCACAGAATGTAGGAGGGAGCAGTCAGTTGGCAGCTACAATTTAAAAGTAACTCGCCCTGGCTGGTTTGGCTCGGCGGTTAGAGCGTTGACCTGCGGTCCAGAGAGACCTGGGTTCGGTTCCCGCTAAGGGCACATACCTGGGTTGCAGTTTGTCCCTGGCCCTGGTTGGTTGTGCGGGTGGCAGTCACTCAATGTACCCCTTTCACGTCGATGTTTCTCTCTCTCTCTCTCTCTCTCTCTCTCTCTCTCTCTCTCTCCTTCCCACTCTACCTGAACAAAAAGTGGAAAAATGTCCTCGGGTGAGGATAAAAAGAAAAAGTAACTCCAGGTGGTTCTGACATATACTGTGCCTCCACTAGAGGACCATGGACAACTCCTTTCTCGGAGCTCCCTGTAGGGTGGCTGGCTGAGACCTGTGTGCAGCCAAAATGCGCGTGAAATCCTCAACCCGTAGAGTCAGCCACTGCTATTTCAAACACCTCTTTAAACTATGCAGAGCTGCCATGTTGGACACGAACTCCCTCGGGACTCGCACACCTCCCTGTCTGCCTAGCATGGGCAACTGCAAGCTGGGGAGATGGTAGGAGGACCAGCAGGGATCCCAGCGCAGGCCACCTGCCCACCTGCACCACTGCTCCCATCTGGCTGAGGGAAGACAACAGGCAGATGACTGCAGTGTTCTTTGCAGTCAGATTTGTGAGCACCACAGAAAGGGCTCAATTAAAAGTGTTTGACCGAACCCCACAAACACTTCTTGCATCTCTGCAATCTTCTCTCGTCCTTGACACGCCTGAGACTATCATGGCTTCTGACAATGCTGACTAGTTCAGTGCGGACAAAACACACACCCCTCACTAAAAGTCATTCTGAGTTTCATTCCTTGTAATGGCCTCTCATGCCAGATTGGCCTGTTTCTTTGATAAATAACCGTGTCCACAACCCTTTTCTTTCTCCAATAAAAATGAGGGCCCTTTTCAGGTAGGTGGCACTTTCTATTTAGCATGTTTAAAACTGCAGTGCACTGGGCTGAGATGAGTGGACAAATACCTCGGTTATCAAGTGGTCTGGTTTCTAAGCTTTTTCCCAGTGAGGACTCTCAGAGCCACATACACACTGAAGTCTATAGTCTATAAAAGAACCTGGGAGGACCTGTGCCCTCCCCACAAACCCCATCACCAATATTCCACACAGCCCACAACATTAACAACCTTGATAATATCAGATAATGCTTCAACACTGTTGACTTCCAGATTACTTAAAAGTCACAAAAATGATTAACATTTATATTTAATATTATAAAGCATATCCATAATAAATTTAAAACCACAGTATTTATTTTAGTTGGGCTCTAAAGTTCTCCATATGTTGGAATAATCTCCACTCCCACTGCTTTATTAACACTACTCTCCTATATTTCTGTAGGTAAGGGATTGCATTTAGGGCCCAGCAGGTGTTAGGAAAATGTAGACTTATGACCAAAGAATTAGAAAACATGTGCAAGTTACACTTGTCTTTCCCATTCTGGTCATCACCATGATTTTAGGACATCTGTTACTCGCTGTGTCCCAGCATGGACAGGACTTGAGAAGGAGAGGAGAAACGAGTCCCTTTGTGAGGGCAAAGATTTCCATTTTAGGTACACCATAGCAGGGGCATTTTGTTCCCCAATCTGAACACACAGAGTGTGTGTTCAAAGAAACAACAGTACAGGCATGGATTTAAGAAATTAATCAATCAAACTGGGATCCTTGCAAGAGCTGAGTAAACACCTGTGGGCATGGGAAAAGGAGCAAAAGGAAGCGTCACTCGTGACACCTCGAATGTCAAGACCTGGAGGGACTGTAGACAATGCCAGACTGCAGAGTGCCTGGAACTGAAGCAAACACAGAACACGACAGAAAGCAGCCAAATAAATAATGACATCGAAATTAAAATACCCTCCTGAGAGAGCAGTCAGGAAGTATTCCCCGCAAGGAAATTGACTTTCACAATGACAGTTCAGTTACTCTGGCCTTTTTCAAATTATATGTAGGCATTTTCTTGAGGTGAATGTGGCTAAACAGGGCAGATATGGACTGAAGTGTCCATGAAAAGAAGACACATTCATACCAAATCAGAGCCAAAAATACCTGCAGAGCCCAAGATCAATGAGCGCTGGATCAATGTTATACAGACTTCCTGATCTTACCTACCATTAAACACAGAAAAGCCTTCGGAGTGGAAGGCTTTGCCCCACCATCATAAGCATTCCCCACATAGCAAATCTTAATGAATCACTAGAATATTTTCAGTTCTTAACTACTAATAAAATATTTATGTTCTTTTAAGTTTACTGGAATTATTATTTTGACTACTTCTAAAAATGTAAGCCCCCCCTCCCCCATGTCACTCAGCCAGAAGGCATTCAAATCAACCAGATTTTTTAGTCAAAGCTGATTAAGAGATGAGTTAAGGGAACAGCAAAATACTTGAAGGCAAAATATCTAAGTAGACGCACAAAATGTAACTGTAATACTTACCTATCAGACCCTTCTCGAGAGTGAAGGTTTGGTTTGTAAACATACATTCAAAAGCCACAATGTGAAAAATCTTGTTCACTGTGTTGTGAGTCCCAACTATTCGAATATATCTGGGGGGTAAAAAGAAAAGAAAATCTGTTGAAGTAAATGAGCTTCCATCACAACCAATCAAAAACAACAGCATAAGATATGTTACATAAACATACAGTGTACCAGGACATGGACTAAAGGAGACTCTGAACTTGACTTCAGACCCTGACCCTGCTCCTTAGGACTAGCTCCAACTGAGCCTTAGAAGAATTACAACAAAATTAGGAAGATACCACTTTCCAGACAGTTAAGTAGAACTTAGATTTGCTTTACCTATAAATCAAATCAGGTACTGTTCAGCTCAAACCCTGAATGTCAGAACAATTATACTTCCACGAGACATTTACGCTGAAGAACTATAAACAGCTTCTATCTTTGCCTTGTGGTTAGGAATGTGTCTGTGCAGAGGTGCACAAACACACAAAATCAAATGCTTTCCAACTCAATGAAAAATTTCATCCATTGGAGACAAATGCATGAAATCAATATTGCTTTCTTGTTTAAAAGAAAAATCCACAGAAACTACTGGAAACCACTCACAGTTTCTTGTATTTTAATATTGCTCCCAAGTTGTTATTAGGAAGTTAACCCTATATACTTACCCCAGCCCCCCACCTGGCTGCTGGGAAGCCTTCTCCTGGCCAGAGGAAGTGATCTGCGCAGGTGGCCCAGCCTGCTCTGCAGCTTCCCCTGGCCACACGGGTCTGGCATTTGCACGCAGTGCAGTTTCCCAGGGCAGGTCTTGAGCATCTTGGCCTGTTCCCCTCTGTATCGCCCTGGAGGCTTCACCTCCAACAAACAAGCATTAACCTTGGAGTGACTTGCTCCTTTCACTCTCCAAAGGGACCTGACAGTTCACAGGTTAATGAACAAACAAACTCATTCTTCTGAGTGTCACACAAATCCACAGGGAGTGTGCACTTTCTTACTGGAATTCAAAGGAAGAACCAGGAAAAACAACTAGATTAACTGATAATGCTCTCCCAAATTATGAACCACGCACTCTGCAGGACGGGGCATATTAAATGAACAGATTTCAATTAGGAGATGACAGACTGGGCCAGCCAGGGTTCAGCAATATCCTCTCTCCACTGTGTAAAACAACCTTCGACTTAGATGATACAATTTTACTTCTGAGTTAATAACTGTTCCCTAATTCAGTAATTTCCTTACATTTCTCATCACTCCAAGTTAACTATATAACGTAAATGCTGATTTAAAACATTCACATTAAGGAGACTACATTTGGGGATTTCACATCATGGGCTATTTTCCCTCCTGTTTCTTCAAGCCTGAATCTCTCAGCATTCCCTGTGCACCTCATTGAGCCATCTGCTCCTTGACACAAGCTGATCACTCATCTTCATAACCAATATAAAATGCCATCTCCTGGACTGGCTGTCCAGCGTGCCCACACCCACTGCAGGAAGACCCTGTTCTTCCTGTGTGGAGAGTCAGGGCAACTGGTCCATCACCAGAGCCCTCTGGTGAAGCAGGAAGTTGGCTCTGATCTGTTCTCTTGAGCCCTGAGGGCAGACAGAAGGTGCTGAATTTACTGGGTTTGGGTGGGTAGCTGGGGTTCTTTTAAAATAAATTCTAAATGGTCTGCGTAGAACAGATTGTGTTGCTCTGTACTGTTGGCGGTGACACTCTGGGCTTTCTGGAAGGGAAGGGGTGTGTTAAGGCTGACACCCTGGCCTGAATCTGATTTCATACATTTCCTTAAACCCACAGAACCTCAACCAGCATAGCATTTTCAACTGCTCATGGTCACCACAGCCTGAGTGCTGCTGTCTGCAACCTTGGCGGGAATGGAGGGAGTGTGGTTTGGTGGAATTTGATCAGATCACTTTCCTATTCCCTAGGTGGAGTCTCTAAGAAAGAGAGACAGCTCTCCTAATACATGCAAGGCAGAGGAGCCAGGAAGTGACTAATAGGGCCTTTCCCCACTGGCAGTTCTTAAGGTTAATAGTCCGCTGACTAGGGGATGCAGTAATGATCCCCCCTCCCTTTCTTTGTTTTTACAACGTTATATGGAACCAAGATCTCCAAGTTTAGATAATAGTTATTTCCCAAATTTTATCCTGTCAGGAAATGGAGAAAATATGCAACCTTCCCCTCCCTCGTTCCCCAATTATAAGAAACTGAAAATAAAAACTGTCCTGGAATACATTTTACAACCTTAATGATAGTGTTTGCAATAACAAACAAGATAATACGTATGGGTTGGAAAAGCACTGAGAGATGCCTCCAGATAAAAAGTTCTATATAAATGAAGATAATGTTATCTCTGCTGCATAATCCTGAGGTCAAATTAGCAGTTCACCACTATATATTACACTTCTTGATTGGCCTGTTATATGTAATGCTCATAATAAGTTTAATTATTTTAGTTCTATAATACTTTCTAAGTCTCCAAAAATTATAGCATAATTTACAAAAATGGCATGAAGTCCCTATTCACATACACATTAAAAAAATGGTAACAAAGTCAAGAAACCATGCTCCTTTTCCCCAGCTCGGAGCTGTTGAGCATAGGACTCTGCCCTTTACATAAGATCTCATCTAGAGCCAGCAAATAGGCGTTAACCCATCCCGACGTCGGTGACTGGTAGGGCAGCCTGGAGCTCTGCATCACAGATGTAGAGCACCTGTGACCCATGAGCAGTGTCTCAAGGGAGAGGGAGGCAGCACAGATTTCCTTAATGGGGCTCACAATGGAGCCTCCCCAAGGCAGAAGGGAAGTTATTACTCCCTGAGATATGAAAATCCAAGGGATGGGGATGGGAGAGTCTTCTCTCTTTTTTACTTTTTTGGGGGGGGGGGGGGGGCAAAACTTGCTCTGGGTCATACCACCTAAACAGGAGAAGTAGATGACTACATTTTTTTTTTTTTTATTCTGTCACAAAGATTTTGAATAAGAGGCAAAGTTTAAGATTATTTTTTTTTTTCCCTTTCAACATAATCTCTCCAATGCACAATCAGACTCTGACCCAACCTGATAATCAGGGCAGTGACAGCTAGTGACTTCATCGGTGTCAGAGAGAGAGCTGCTGAAAAATGTAACAGCTCTCTGTTCTCTCTGAGGTCCTCCACAGCAGCTCAGACAGCTGGAAGGTGATTAAAACTTAACCAGGGCTAAGGAAGGCAGACATGCAACAGATGGGCCATTTCTTGTGAGGATGAATGCAGTCCACATGAGCCCTGGTGGAACAGTCTGTTTCCAAAATTCTCTTCCCTTCCCCATGTTAGATGTCTTCTAGTTACTGACAAAGACTGGATCCTGAACACGGTTTGGAAGAGGATGTTTCAATGCAGAAGTTTCTAGGAGCTATAATATGTGGGTGAGAACATTCTGTGTTCTTTAATAAAATGAACTCTTGAACCTCCAAAGACAGCACTCTAAAATTGAAAGGTATTACAGAGTTTTGAAGAATGTGCTTTAGAGTCCAAAAGAACCAGGTTTACAGCTTAGCCTCATTATTTAATTAGCTGTGTCACTTTGTGGGGGAAATATTTTAACCCTTTTTTTTCTTTATTGATTTTTAGAGAGAAAGGAAGGGAGGAAAAGAGAGAGAGAGAGAGAGAGATACACTGATGAGAAAGAACACTGATTGACCACCTCCTGCATGCCCCTCACTAGGCATTTGGCCCACAGCCTGGGCATGTGCCCTGACCGGGAACCAAACTGGTGACCTCGTGGTGCATGGGTCGATGCTCAACCACTGAACCACACTGGATGGGTACTTTAACCCTTTTTAAACTTTAGTTCCCTTCTCTGTAAAATGAGGTCAATAACACAGACCTTACAGGGTATTTAAATGAGGTAAGCATGTAGTGTCCGATGCAGTGCTTGGCAGAGTAGGATATCTTTAAATAGAAATGTAGAGTACATCATTGGGTATAGATTCCTTGTTTGAACTTGAAGAACACTGGCTGTCTGGGAGAGAATTACCAGCTGTGGATGTTGAAGTGGTGCATCTACCAGGAGGCGGGCCCAGGGGCAGACTTGAAGAATACAGCAGGGCCTGTCCTTGCTCCGAGGGCACCACAGCAAAGGCACCACGGGCCACAGGAGGAAGATGACCTGGCTGCATGGTATTTCCTGCTTTAAGGCCCTAGTCTTTAGAAAAGTCTATTTAAAGTGCTCTTGACCTGATTCAGCTATGTATGAGGAGGCAAGACAAGAATCTTTTGCCCATATCTGGTCCAGCAACCCAGAAGAGTTCTGTGTGTGTGTGCAAACCCTAGAAATTTAAGGAAAATAGAATTCCTAACAGTGTGACCTATAGGAACTTTGCTCTGGAGACTTCACTGCACTCCCTGCCTACTCGAGGAAGGTACAAATTCCTATTCTTGACCTACTGTTCCATCATTTCTTGTCTGGATGCTACCAGATTTAATTTCTAAGTCACACACATTACATCTTCAACATACTAAAGAAAATAAAAGCAAGCAGCAACTTGTACATTTCTACTTTAAACGCTTGGTATTTATTCTCTAGTCTTTAGTTCTGGTGGAGCACAAGCCTACTTGTAGCAGGTTCTACTACAAGATAAAATTGAATTCAGTAAGAAATATTTAAATGAGCTCTCAAGGGATCAACTAAAGCAAAAACCCATCAGAATTCTATTCTATGGTAAACAAAGTTTTATTCTCAAAGTGAACTTCGTATCCCTGGGTTAAACAAAGACTCTTGAGAAAACTCGAGTTAGCCTAAGAATGGTGTACAAGAAGGGATCCTTAACATTTTGGTGCTCTCTCTGAGGTGGCCACAGAGAACTCAAGGGAGGAAAACTGTTCTTAGCTGTGGTCAGATGTGGTGACGTAACAAAAACTTTAGCTCCAACATGTACTAAGGACTTGGGACCATGTGGGGTCTGGATTCACCCTTTTTAAGATTCCCTATCTGACCTTTCCTTTCAAGGACATACTAAAAATGCACATAAATAATTCTCTAACCCAAAAAACAGGTCACGTTTACGGGTTTCCCCAGTATGAAATTGTCTTCTAGTTCTGG